TTTTTTTTTTTTTTTTTTTTTTTTTTTTTTCCGTTTCAATGGCGGTCGGGGACCTTCAGGTACAGGGCACTGGGAAGAAGAGGAAGCGCGGAATTGAGAGAAGGCTTCTTGTTGATGAAAATGTAGAGGTAATGTAACTCCGTTTCATCCTTTTATTGCGTTTAAGTTTTGGACTGTTTGGGATTGGAAATTTAAGGGTACGGTTTGCTATTCTGATTTTTTTTTGTTGTTCAGAGGATTTTTTGTTCTTTGCTATGATCAATGTTTTTTTTCCTATTTGTTTGTTTATTTTCCTATTTGTTTGTTTATTTTGGGGTTTGGAGAACTTCTGAGGTTAATGAGGATTCCTTTTTGGGTAAGATTGTCCATTTTTGCCTGTTATGAGCACGCTTTTGTGAAATAGTATCTGTGGAAAGGGAATAGAGGTCTCTCTCTAGGTTTATTATGTATGTACGTGGCGGTGGGTCGTTGCTCTAATGTTCGCGTGATTATGATCGAGCACTCATTGTTTTCGACTTTTTACATTATGAATGTCAAACACGGCAGGTGAGGAGTTTAGAAGACGGATTTCTTGGTTCTTGGCATGGTGGGACTGTTATTGCATGTAACAATGGAGTTCGTCACGTCAAGTACCATCATCTTCTTCTTAATGATGGTTCTGGTTTCCTTGTTGATGTTGTTTCGATCTCTGCCAGTTTAGATGGTGTTAGTTCCTTGATTGGGAAGTCGAATGTTCGAGGATATATAAGGCCAATACCACCTACGGTTGACTTTGGAAAGTGGCCTTTGCCTTATGGACTGTGTGTTGATGTGTATTATCAGGATGCATGGTGGGAAGGTGTTGTATTTGATCACGAAGATGGTTCTGTGGAGAGAAGGATTTTCTTTCCGGATTTGGGTGATGAGTTGTTGGTTGGAATTGAAACATTGCGTATTACCCAGGAATGGGATGAGGCTACTGGAGATTGGAAGATACGTGGGAACTGGTCGTTTCTGGAGTTAATCGATCGATGTGAAAAAGAATCTTATCTTCCTGTTTCTTTGAAGCAGATATGGTATGAAGTACGGGCGAAAGTTGGTTTCATGAAGATTGGAGAGTGGACCTCTCCTATGAATGATTTATGGAAGGAGTTGGTGATGGAGGTCATTGATGAAAATTTAGATGTTACTCTAAAGGAAATGCTTCGGCTTTTAGAAATTTCCTACAGTTTAGGAAGTGAACTAGGTAAAACTGATGTTTGTATCAACAAGAATCCATTGACCGATTTAGTTGGCTTTGATGCAACTGCAATAACAGGAGAATTTGTAAGAAATGATATGGTGATTAATGATTTCAATCAGGAAAATGCATTTGATGACCGTGGTTTGGTAATGGTAGAAGTGCACGACCACGATGGCTTGAATGCTTTACTGGATTCTGGTCCAAATTCTACTAATATTCATCTAGCTCAAGAAGAATCAAAACTGGATTATAAGTCCAAAATGAAAACTTCGAATGATTTAGGTTTTTCCTGCCATGATGAAGCGTTGTCCATGCTGCCTAAAACATCGCCATCCATAGCTTCTGATGCTGATGGACTTTTTGGTGCTGGTGCCATTAACCATCAACGACTTCCAATTGTCCTGTATCAAAATGTTAATAAACAGCTGAAATGCTCAGGACATGGAAACCCCCTCAAGTGGGAACCTCTTAATGCTACAACCCTTCCTGATGCTGCATTATACCCTGATGCTGTTTCTGAATATTCACTTTTGAATAGAGAAAAACCTACACAAGCCTTGCTCGAAAATGCAAGGAAACATCTTTTATATCTTGGCTGGAAAATTGAATGTAGGACAGATAAGCCTATTTTTAGATATACCTCCCCCAATGGCAAGTGTTTCTATTCGCTTCGCCAGGTGTGCAAGCTCTTGGAAGAAACCTCCGCTCAGATCCCTCCATCTATTTCCAAAGATGAAATGAGAAATATGCATGACTCATGTCATGTGAGACTCTCATCTAGGGTCCTTGAACAAAGAGAAAGGAGTTCAAGTCCCAACAATTGCTTTGAGACAACTCTTGATGGTTCTGATATCGTTTTAGGAAAACCTGAACTTTTGCATAGAGCCGTTGTGGACTACTATAATTTGAGTCGGTTAGGCAGAAATGGCAGAAATGGAAGGAAGAAAATGTTTGAAATGCAATCAAAGACAAGAATGCACCTATTATCTTTGGGATGGCGTTTTCTTGTCAACAATAAAGGTAAAGGAAACAGGCAAAGATGGTACTACACTTCACCTCTAGGCCGATCTTGTGCGTCACTTTCAGCAGCCTGCAAAATCTGTTTAGATGAAGAAGGCATCTACAGTAATACCAAGTTTGTTGGTAGTCCTTTGAGAAATGTATTCATAATACAGAAGGCTGAGGGCCAATTAGTTAGGAATGAATTTTACTCTCCAGCAAGTAATATGGATGTACAGGAATGCTCAAAGCCTTCAAGTCCAATCAGAACATTTTCTGGAGAGTCTCCTAGAACATCTCCATCCAAAGATCTTGTGAAGTTTAGTCATGATAAATTTCGAAGTACTAGAAAACTCAGGAGCATGGCTAATTTATTTGATTTTTCATCTAACTTACTCCAAAGCCGTCATAAATTGGATGGTAAAGCCTATGAATCAGGCATCCAAACCCTACGCAAAAAGTATGTGAGGCGGCGCATAAGGAGTCCTGGAGCAGTTAAGCAAAACTTAAGCAGAGCAAGTGCATCTGCAGGTATCAATAAATTTTCAGATGACATGGAACATAGTAGGTCAATGCGTGTGTCACGCTCAAGCAAAAGAGCGCTTGAGGTGGTCACTCCATGCGCTTCACACCACAACCCTAGAACTGTACTCTCCTGGTTGATAGACAACAATATGGTCTTGCCAAGGACAAAGGTTTATTACTGTAGAGGTAAGGATCGTCAACCAATGGCTGAAGGAAGGATATCTCGTGGTGGAATCAAATGTTGCTGCTGTCAAAAGGTATTTACTATCAATGGTTTTGGAATCCACGCTGGCAGCACTTCATCCCGGTCAGCTGCAAATATACTGTTCGAAGATGGAAAATCTTTGTTAGAATGCCAGAAACTGTGCAATAAAAAGATCAGGGACTTTCAAAGAGAAACACTTGATTGTGGGAGAGATGGTTTTTCTAAAGGTGAGAATGACTATATCTGTTCAATTTGTCAATTTGGAGGCACATTAATTTTATGTGATCAGTGTCCATCTTCATTCCACCAAAGCTGCCTTGGTTTGAAGGTAGATATTCTCTTCTTGGTTTCTTGGTTCAATATATTAGGAATTTGAGATTAGTTGACTGTTGACATTTTAGGATGTTCCAGAAGGTGATTGGTTTTGTCCATCGTGTTGCTGTGGTATTTGTGGCGAGAATGAATTTTATGAACACAACAATGTTGTTGACAACCCTTTCCTCACTTGTTGTCAGTGTGAACGTAAATGTTGGTACTTCATCCAAAAAGTCTTTCACAACATAAGAACATGCATATTGTCTTTTAATGTTTGGATAGTTTCTTTGTGCAGATCATGTTGAATGCTTAGGAATCAAGGGGACTCAAAACTTTGGAAGCTATTCTAAAACTTATTGGTTTTGTAACAAACATTGTAAAGAGGTAGTTCTCATCCCTTCTTCATTTCTTTAGAAAGTTGGACCATCGCGAGTTTACTACTCCATAGTCAACTGAGAAGTCATTGATGTTTATGATGTCACGAAAATATTTAAGGGCTGGATGGATATTGTGTTAAATCTTCTAAACATGGTCAAAATGATGGAAAGAGCCATTTGATATAAGACAACAGATTAATGAAGTGTTGGATAGCATGAGTAAATGGATAGATACTCCAATTTTCTTACTAAATGAATATTCTATTGACTTCAGTAATTAAGGTTATAGGAGGAACTAGGTTCTGAGAAGTAACAATGGATGGCTTCTTTCAACTGAATTCAGTAGGAAACTTAGATGATTTGAGTGTATGGAATTTATTGTTCTTCCTACACTTCACCTGCATAATTTGCCTCCTTAGAGAATCAGTTTCCTGAGAAAGTTAAGATATCGAGATGCTATTTAAAATACCGCTGCTGGGGAGCAATTATTTCTATGTTTTAAGTGTAAATTACGTTATGAAATCATATGTTATATTCTTAGTCGTTATTTTCTGTGTCCAGATACATTTGGGCCTCCAAAAGCTTTTAGGAAAATCGATCCAAGTTGGTGGTGACAATCTAACCTGGTCACTACTGAAGGCCACAAATTCTGATACTCATCATTTCAATCCTCTTCATCCCGAGACTGTAACAGAAAATCAGAGCAAGCTTAATGTTGCTCTCTCCGTGATGCATGAATGTTTTGAACCTGTTAGGGACCATCATACGAGAAGAGACATTGTAGAGGATGTCATTTTTAGCAGAAGGTGAGACTTACTTCTAGAAATTACATTTATTTTACCGTCGTTTTTACTTGCAACTTGAACTCAATTGGCAACCTCTTTTAGGTCTTATTTTCGTTATTATTATTTTTTTCTTGTTAAAAGATATACAAGAAAATGTAGATAGGATATCTGTGCTGGTTCTATATGATCTTTAAGTTTGAGAAGTTTAAAATTGGAATGAAAATTTTCAGGATCAAGGCAGGTGTTGGTGCTAAGAAGAGTACAGGACAATTGTGGTGTTCATGATCACAGCTATGATTACTTTGCAATGTCCTCCTGATTTTGTTGTCTATGACTTGGCAGGTCAGAGCTTAAGCGGTTGAACTTTCAAGGTTTCTATACTGTGCTCTTAGAAAGAAATGATGAATTAGTCAGTGTTGCTGCTGTAAGGTAAGCACATTTATCTCAGTCATAATGGGTAGAACCTAGAATTTAAACATTCCTTTGAGATTCCTTTCACTTTAATCTCTATTGCTCCTCTGATGTTGGGGTACTACTCTAGGGTCTATGGAGAGAGAGTGGCAGAAGTACCACTTGTTGGCACACGTTTTCATTATCGTCGTCTCGGCATGTGTCGTATTTTGATGAATGAGCTTGAAGAGGTAGTTATACGGTCTTTACACTAATATGTTTGACTTCATTTCCTTTATATTTTTGTTCTCTTTCCTTGTTTCCTTTATTTCCTTTATATTTCTTTTCCAAATGTCTAGAGGATAGATATGACTTTATTGTTGTCAAATGGCCTTATCATTACTGCCATTTTTTTTATAATTTATAGAGGCATGACATCACCAAGTTGATGTTCATGCGCTTCTTGGGCTCGGAATTTATTGTACATCTCATGTGTTCGACGTGTATTTTCAGAGGCTGAGAGAACTGGGAGTTCAGAGGCTGGTCTTGCCAGCTGTTTCTAGTGTGCTCAATGCATGGACTACGTCATTTGGATTTTCAAAGATGAATGATTCCGAGAGATTAGAGTTTCTTAATTTTACTTTCCTGGATTTCCAGGAAACTACAATGTGTCAGAAATTCTTGATCAAGGATACAGTTGTGCCTAGCTCATTAGCAGGTAATTATCACTGGCTTATTATGAGTGAAGTGTAATTAAAAAACATAATTGATCATCACATTTTGGCAGGGAAGTCTGAACTTCACGATGATGGCAACAAAAACAGCAATAGTTCTGATAATATTTGTGGATCAAGTGCAATAACCGAACTTCATCCAGCAGCACAAGCTGAGGAGAGCAGTATCTTGAGTCAAGGACAACTGGGGTATGACTTCCCATCTCAAACTAATTTTACAAAAATAATGATCGATTGATTAAATGCACTCAAAAAACCATTTGACACTTAAGGGAGTGGTTAGCTAGCCCGATTCAAAAGAGTTTTCAATGGAAGATGAAATTTAACTGCATCTACCATTAGTTATTTCAGATCTTGAGCTCTGTGATCCGTTCTTCAATTTGATCTTTTATGAGGACAATCATGGAACGTATATGTAATTTGATGTGATTGTTTGAGAATTAGTGATGTTTGATAAATAGATTGGATATCCAGAGATAAGGCATGAGTTTCTAGCATAGTTTGATAAACGCCTAGATTCCTTGAGAGAACCGCATAGTGGTGTGTTGAATTTGCTTGAGCAACATTTTCTGTTTCGAACTTGAAAGTGTTTCACACTAGTTTCTTCAAATCTGCTTTTACTCTGATCCTACTTCACATGTTTTTTACAGAATATCTGCAGGTAACAACAGTGATAGAAGCCCCAATTCGGAGGTTAATAAGGAAATTTCATCATTCTACCTTAACCAATCCCACCCTCTCCCCTCTTATCTCATATTTATTTGTTGGAGAAACATGTTGATTGACTGTTCTTTCTGTTCTTAGGGGATGTTGAAGAATCATCTTCAAATCAATACAAGCCACATTGAGAAATTTCCCACATGCTTGGCTGGAGGCTACAAACATTGTGAAGGTCTCCAAGAGAGTACTCATGATTATTTGAAGTACTACAGGCGGAGAAGCAAGTTGATCAGTTGTTGATTAGACGGTGCTCTGAACGACACGACGGTGATTAGAAACGTGCATAACCCGTTTTCTAGAATTAATTAACAACTTGGAATTTTGGCAGGAGTGGTTTAGTGTTTAGTTTCTGTTCTCTTGTACAGAATCAGGCTTAGGAAAGCTTGTTTGAATGGTTAGTTTTCTACGATTGGGTGTTTGTAAATATTGATGCATGCCTGGTCTCTGCTTTATCAGATTGAACTTAATAATAGGTTGGGGCTGATATATAAAATGGTGTAAGCCATGTGGAGAAACAGATATTTTGAAGGGAAAACCATGAATCAAATTTTGTTTGTATCTCATCTGTATGAACGAGTTGAAGCGACCCAAAAATTTGGTCTCCATGAACAAGTTCTCTTGTAGGGTTCATTAGAATGCATCCTAAACATGTGTTCCCATGCTTAATCTCTCTCTTTACAATCCAACAAGTTTGATTAAGATTATTATTTGTTAGTTCCTCAAATTAATATAACAAAAATAATAAAACCGCATTATAATTATGTTCAATCAAAGTACGTTCAGATGTTTTTAAATTTTCATACCCCAAACTAGCTATTAGATACCACGTGTTAATTAGTTATCTATCTGGTACCTATCTATTAGGTTAAATGGCAACTAGTTATCGTAAAGAAATATAATAACTATTAGCTTAAGCCAAAATAGAAATGAACTAGAACTTAGAACTTGAGCTTGCTTGATTCTAATTTGCAATTTTGGTAATCACATCATATAATTAAAATGTACATCCATACAAGTTCTTAAAAAGAAAGGACATTACATAAATCCGAAGAGTCTAGCACAAATACAATATTGATAGAAAGTTTCCTTAGAAGGTCCCTTAGTAACAACACCCTCACACTACGTCGCTCCCGTGTTATTTTATACATTTAAGGTATGTAATTTGGAGGACATGGTTTAGCATCATCAAGCTGGGGGAGCCTACTTTATTACTATTCTAGCTAAGGATTTCTACTCCTGGTGCACTGACCTCCATTCTTGGAATTGTATTCACTATCGGCGGCGGGACAACGCTTTTGACGCCTGTTGCCTCATCTCCGTAAGCCGAAACATGAACTCCAAGTGCAGCTCTACCTGAAGGATCAAGATTTTTAGACCAAGCAGCGTCCCACTCAACAGCCTTTGCTGTGCTGCAAGCGATGCTTGGTCCTCCCGGGATGGTCAGCTGAGCCGCGTTCTGCAAAAAGCCATACAAAGTGCAAAGGTTAATGAAATTCACTCACATGGGTACCACTGTCGTTGATGGAAGTAAATTACCTGTGGAAAGAACCTCTCAAATATGGTTCTGTAGTAGTACGCTTCTTTTGATGTTGGAGTGTTTTGGGGGAAAATGTGTCCGGCGTTCAGCATCATCCTATCGGTCACCTGAAAAGTGTGTATTGAGCTTTTATCTTATCATCAAACATATGAACATTATATCTAAACGATTAAGGCTTGTTTGAAATGGCATTCTAAGTACTTCAAATAGGGAAAAGAAGGGAGGGGGTTAGCTGATTACATGTTGAGCAGCATGGGCTTTAAGGCCATCGATCCAACTATATCCAACACCATCACTAAACTGTTCCTTCTGCCTGTACAGAACATTCTGCAGGCAGGAAAAAAAGGGTTACATTCTTATTCAAGTTATGGGATGGGATTTTCTTTCAAAGTTGGGGTAAGATTCCCAAGGCAGACCTTAGGGAGATAAGGCTGCTGTTCATCATCGAAAGCTCTCCTGAGAACCCATTTTTCAATTCGACCTTGTTCACGTTTAATCTGAAATAGATTAAAAGATTAGATGAGAAACGAAAGTGCTATAAAGCTAAGAAAGATTTAATTTCCCTACCATTTTCCATTCTGGATCAATGGCCATTGCAGTATCGATAAATTCTTTGTCTAGAAATGGAACTCGAACTTCCAAACCCCACGCTGAAGTTGCTTTGTTTGCTCTTAAGCAATCATATAAATGAAGTGCCTTTATCTGTAAGCAAGAACAAAAGCTCTCTGTAATAATGCAATTCTCCTCAACCCCTTAAAAAAAAAAACATCCAGCGGTGCCCTTCATAAAATTATATACCTTGCGACAACTTTCACGGTGGAACTCTTCCTTATTGGGAGCCTTGTGGAAGTACAGATATCCGCCAAAGATCTCATCAGCGCCTTCACCAGAAATTACCATCTTTACTCCTAGAGCCTTAATCTTTCGTGCCATAAGAAACATAGGTGTGCTTGCCCTGATTGTAGTAACATCATATGTTTCTATATGGTAGATAACATCTTCAATGGCATCAATCCCATCCTATTATAAAAGAAGATAAAGATGGTAATACAAGAACAAGAAAAGGGGGGAAATATGTTTGCTTGTAAAGTTCTAGATATGTCTTGTACTTGAACTGTGAAATGGAACTCGTGGTGGACAGTTCCCAAAAAGTCTGCAACTTCTCTAGCAGCCTTCAGATCTGGTGAACCCTGGAGAGCAGAGGATGAATTTTATTCTCTAAAAGAAACGGCTCCCATTATGTATATAATCCATAAGTGTTTCGAGGAATAGAAACCTACCTCAAGACCAACACAGAAGGAATGGAGTTGTGTACCCCAGTGCTTGGCAGCTCTTGTGCCAGCCAAGTGACGAGCTGTGATAGAGGCAACCAATGATGAATCTAAGCCACCAGATAGCAGAACTCCAAAAGGGACATCGGTCATTAGCCTTTTAATTACAGCCTGCATAAGTTAACACGCACGCTCATTATCCTAATAGAATTTCAGAATGTGTTAAACTTAATAAAATATCTTCAAATCTATCCCATTAGTTCATACATTTTCCAATGAGCGTCTCAGAACAAGTGGATCATATGGAGTCGATGGAATAGCCTCAGAGAACCAGGTTGGATTGTACCATCTTTTGAATCCACCTTCCTTGCTAGAGTAGAAGTGACCCGGTGGAAAAGTCTCAAAATGTTCACAATCATCATTCAGACCTTTGAGCTCCGAAGATATCCAAACGGAGCCTGGCCATAATTAAGAGTATTTAAAGAACATGTCAGTGGATGGTTAGATCAAAACACAGGGAAGAGCCAACGGGATTAAGAATGATTTCAGTTACCATCAAGTCCCCAGCCAATGTAAAGGGAAGTAATCCCAATCGCATCTCGAGCAACAATGAAGCTGTTGTCACGAGTGTCCAACAGCACGAAAGAAAACATTCCATCAAGCATGTCCACAAAATTCTCTCCATATTCTTCATACTACACAGACACCAACGAAAAATATCATAATCCCATCCTCCTTTGCCCATGAACCACAACAAATGGCTAACTCATGGGAAATCAGATTATTCAAGAAAAAAAATAATTCCCATAATCATATCTGTTAATACCAAATGTGCGATAACATCACAGTCACTGCCGGTTCGAAATTTGTGGTTGCTCAATTTCTTCCTCAGCTCCTCATGGTTATATATCTCTCCGTTGACCTTATGTTAGGCAAAAACTTTTGCTCATCAGCACGATAAGAGAGGGCGTGTACTCATGCAGGAACCAAGAGCTCAACAAAAAAGGTAAGGGAGTGTACCGTGACGACAATGGACTTATCTTCATTAAAGAGAGGTTGATCACCGGAAGCAGGATCGATAATGGCTAAACGTTGATGAGTTAAATAAAAATCAGTGTGCTGGTAAAGCCCACTCCAATCTGGGCCACGGTGCTTCAATCTGTCAAACCAACAAGTGATTAATGTCAATTCCATCGCAATTTAATTGATTAACTAGGCTGATTACTAAACTTTTCGTTTTCTTTTCCCTTTTTAGTTTTCAAATTATCCGACGGCGTCGTTGCAGAGATCATCATATCTAATTCTCATCTTTCTAAAAGCTAAAAGTTAAAACATCAGAATCAGAAGCAGGACAAAATTATTCAACGAGTTAGACTTTTTTTTCTTCCCCGGAAATCACTGAATGACAAGCAATGCCAAATCGCACTTGAAATCACAACGAAATATCAGCAGAGTTCGTTTCGCTTGCTATTTAACAAACACTAGATGATTTCAAACACGGTTCATTCTTTTTCGGAAAAAAAAAATTATTACATTCTTCAAACAAACAGGCGCGTAAAAAGAACAACGGATATATCAAACTCTAAACACAACAAGAATGTACAAAAAAGAGCCTCGATATCTGAAAAAAATAACCTAAAAACCGACCATAGACAACGAGAAATGGACTTCAAGCACATAAATTAAAACCTCTTCGTTGTTCTTCATCTCACAAAGTTGAAAAAGTTCCATGAAACTCAAATGCACATATAGTTAGTCATAAGGCAACAACAGGTATACAGATTAAGAACAAAAACGAGAGGAAAAATGCAGAGGAGATTAAGAACTTGCCGTCGAGAGAGTTCAAGAACACGAACACGTTTGGCCTGAGAATCATCGGAGCAACCAAGAACGGCAAGAATTCCACACATACTGACTGAAAGAAAATTTCAAAGAAGAAGAAGAAGAAGAAGAAAGAAAAATCCGTTCAGAAAACGGAAAACAAAATAGGAGTGAGAGAGATTAACACATAGAACGGTTGGAAAATGTTCAGAAACTCCGCTGCTTAAGCCACGCATTTATAATGCCAGGATTATGTTAATGATGGCGTCATTTTCGTCTATTATCCAGTCCCTATCCTACGTAGCTCCGGGACCACAGCCGTGATACTCTGCTCTGCTGCCACGCGTCGGCATATGTTTCGTCCGTGGAGGTCATTTTTATTGACCCTCGAACCTCCAATTTTCTCGTTTTACCTTTGGGTTACAAACGTCAAACGCTTTGTATAATAAAATATTTTTTAGTAAATTTCTGAATTTATTTTTTAATTTTGTTTCTTTTTTAGTGTATTTAATGAGCTACAAATAATTAATTTTAATTTTAACTATCATTCCACTTTAATATATTCTTAATAATTCTCTACAAATTTTATTATTAATTTTTTTAAAAAATATATTTAATTTCATAATGGTGGATGAAAATACCACATCTGCTGATTTAGGGAGTAATCTGTATTGGTATGAGGTCTTTTGGGGAAGCACAAAGCAAAGCCATAAAAACTTGTGCTCAAAATAGATAACATAATACCATTGTGGAGAGTCATGTTCGTCTAACACAAACAACATTTCCAAATAATTTTTAACTATATGGATGGTAATTCTTCAAAATTTGAGTTGCAACATTTAATTAAATATTTTAAAAAATAAGTAAATAGATATTATATAAACTAATATTTTACTCTTTATTAAAAAAAAATTGAATAAATGATGTGAACAAGTTGAGGAGTTGTTTAAGTTGAAAATTTTAGGGTTTAAAAAAATGTATTTAATTTCTAATAAATAGTAAAAAATATTGTTTTTTTTATGGATTCAAGGAAATTTAAATTATTTTAAAATTACTTATTATTGGTCCAAATGATTTTTTTTTAAAATTAATGAATAAAAAATGATTCAAAGAAAAATTTTAAAAACCTTTTTTAAATTAACATTTAGGTAACTTATCAAAATATGAATTTAAACTGAATAAAGCTATCATTAACAGAATATTAAAAAGAAATTGAAAACGATATACAATATATTAGTATTTAAACTACCCTTAATTTTTTAAGCTTAAATTTAATTATTATAATCTTCAAATAATTATCCGACCGAGTTTAAATTATTAAAATAATGGCCAATCATTTTTAATGTTTATGTTAATGTCTAACGGCACTCGGTCGGATTAAAAAATTAAGAAAAAAAGAAAAAAAAAAAGGTGTTCGGTCATAAAAGTATTTCCACCACTTTCAACTGTCCACGTGTTGCGTTTCCTGAATTCACGTGGCTGACATATCCGTATAATTTTGGCTCTATTTGACTTTTTACGAATCTTTATCCACAAATGTCCCTTCAAATAATATATATATATATATATTTTTATATATAAAAAAAGCATGTAAAATGCGCACATTAAGTTAGAATTACATTTATTTTATAAAGAAAATCAAGTCAATTTCTTTTTTATAAGGGTAATTAGGTAATTGCATATGTAATGTTTTTTTTATTTTTATATTTGAGTTGGATAATTCTACGCCACATGAATGGATATTTTTATTGTATTGTAAAAAATTAATAAAAATATATTGAATAGAGGAAGTTATTTGTTTTCTACGATAAATTTTACAATAAAAAATTTAAATATTTTGTAAATGTAATGTATAAAATGCTATTAGTTAGGCTTTCGATTAGACCCTTATATAACATAAAGACAAACGAAACCAACCGAAAATGAAATAGGCTGAAGCACAAAGGAAACTAGGTCACAAGACCGAAGGGAAAGGGCATGCACCCAACATGCCCCCAACATGCCCCCAGTTCGGGTGATCTTGATTCACCTTTATCTGAACTTTTTTTCAAACTCGAAGAATGTAAGATATTCATAATTTAGAAACTATTACTACATTAGTTTTCTCCTAGACTAATTTAAGCATCTGAGTCGGCATGGCAAGACCACACTAGTGTACAAGTCTCTCTTTTCGCAGATCACGTTCTTGACAATAACAATTAGATAAGGATCGTCACACCCAAACAATACGTGAAGGGTACACCTCCTCGACCTCCTACTCAACAAGCCGATCAGAGGAAGAGATCACGAAGCTGAAGAGAAGAATAAACATAATAGACCAATACTTGGTTTAGATCCTTAAAATGTTGGACAATCAAGCTCATCTATTGAAGATTAAGGAAGAACTGGTTCGAGACTCCAGAAAGGAAAAGGCTTGGAGGGTATGAGAAACAAAAACTCGTACTAAAAAAAACCAAAACAAAACCCAATCCTTCGAGAAAATCATACGAGAAAATGTTCAAAAGAAAAAAAAAAGCGTGGCCAAGAGGATTCACAAAGTCAAATTTTTTTGGGTCAATAGTACCAAACAATTCAAGTTAGGCCGACCAGATAATGACAATATGATAACAATATCTTGAAAAGACAAAACATATGGATCAAATTTATGAAGTCTGATTAAGGATAAAGTCGAAGCGATAAGCTACATCGATGCTGATGTATGAAGCCTCCGTAGAAAGTCGATCCATTCGAAGTTCAAAGAGATCTCGGGAACATCTTAGAAAACTTCAAAAGAAGATTTCTTAAGCTTCACGATGTTGAAAGAAGCTCTGAATTGAAACAGTAGATCCTCCCGAGGTTCACCGAAAGTTCAAAGTTTCAACCATCAAGCTTTATGATAAGAAGACAAATTCAGTGGAGCACTTAGACACATACAAATTATGAATGGATCTCCACAGAGTTTATACTCCAATTCGATATAAAGTGTTCTCTTCTGTATAGATACATTCAACCAAAGAATCATTTAGAAAGTTAAAAAGAATGTGAACGGGTTCTTTCAAAGAATTAGAATCTTAAAAAATATTAAGAGTTTCGATAGTTCTGATAGAGTTTCGTGGTCACTACAGACCACCACTGTCGCCGCATTTACCATCGTCAAAACTACCGTTTGAAAAACAGTTAATTTTCACAAGACTTGTTATTTTAGTTCAACCTCGAGTTTGGATGCGACGTACCACTAACATTTACCCCTAAATTTCGATATAGTATCGAACACCGAAGTGGGAAGTTTGACATGACACCAGTGAGCTTAAAGGTTGTTGGGAAAGTTGGAATATAGACGGTATATTCCCACGAGAGAACGGTGAGTAGTAAGGTTGATAAATTTTGGAATTTGTGCCTTGATGGTTTAAATCAATCCGTAAATATTCTAGCGTAGGTTCAATCTAGTTAAGAGTTGGACTAACCTATGTAGTATCGGTTAAGATAAGTAAGAGACATTTCTATTGAAACTAAACTATTTTGTTTCGGGACAGCCAGCCCACGTCCACATGGGTAATAATTGGTGTCAAAATTGTGGCCTCACAATGAATTGCCAGTACGAGAAGTCGCAATTAAGACAGGTACCCCATGAATACCACCAACCGGCATAGCCTCCAATAATGATGGGTTAAAAGAGGAGACATGTTTGGTTTTTTGTTTTTTGTTTTTTTCTCAAGAACAAGGCCACCAATTTAATCCATGTTTTTTTTTAATTCATATTGGTAGGTTTTTAAAGGTGAATTATGGAGTAATAAATAAATAAAATAAATATGAATTGTTCTCGTCAAGTTTTCAACTTTGTTATCCGCCTTGAAAAATACATGACACCGAGGGACCCTAGTTGGGTTATGACCACTGAGTGAGATGAACGGTTCTCTTCTAAAATAACCAAGGGTAATAGTGGAAAATCATCATATGTTCTTGGAGTGATGTAATTCATACCCGTTTAGATATCGGTGTTTAGGCTTTACGTTCTCGAGAATATGATGATACATTGTACATCATACTTTTATGGGAGTGATGAGATTCAAACATATATTTTATTGGTGAAAAGTACTAGTTAAGCTATGTTCGAATTGGTATATAATTGTATATATAATTAATATTAAAAAAAATGTAAACTTTAAGTTAAGAGTGGTCCTTGAAAACTATGTAGATGGTGAAGTATTTGGACGTGGTGGAAAAATGATATGTATCGTATCTTTTTAAATGAGTACAAGTCAAATACTTTACTTTTAAAGGGGAAAAATTCAATTTGTTCTCCTCACGAGCAACTAAAAGTCACAGATCTAAGAATCCATATTGGTTGAAGACGGAAATGAAACATTTCTTATCAAATGTGAAAAAAAATTTATAGCACACGCGTTTTAAAATCGTGAGGTTGACAATAATATGTAATGAGCTAAAACAAACTATATCTGCTAGCGGTGAGTTTGAGCTATTACTAATGGTATTAGAGTCAGTCACCGAGTGGTGTGCCAACGAAGACTCTGGCCCCCAAGGAGATGGATTGTGAGATCCCACATTGGTTGGAAAGCTTGCTCGGCCCTTAAGGGAGTAAACTGTGAGTGTAACGGCCCAAATCCACCGCTAGCAGATATTGTCCTCTTTAGGCTTTTTCTCAAAGCTTTAAAACGTGTTTGTTAGGGGAAGGTTTCCACACCCTTATAAATGGTGGTTTGTTCTTCTCCCCAACGAATGTGGGACATCACAGTGAGATCTCACATCGATTGAAGAGAGGAATGAAAACATGGTGTAGAAACTTATATGGCATACGTAACGTGCCAAAGCAGACAATATCTCCTAGCGGTGGTTTGACTAATTCAAGTAAATAATAATTTTAATTGTGAGATCTCATCCCGATTGGAGAGGGGAATGAAACATGTGCGTAAACTTATACTGCATACGTACCAGGCTAAAGCACATAATATCTGCTCTGACCGTAATTTGACTAATTCAAATAAATAAGAATTTGAATTGTAAAATTCCAGTTGTATTGCATACGTAACCAAAAGAGCGAATAATATCTACTAGCTGTGGTAACTCATTCAAGTAAAAAAAAATTTTATGGTCTCTTTTTGTTAATTACTTTTTTTTAAAAGGTAGTTACCGACCAAAAATGTTAGTAAAAAAAAAAACTTTAATGGCTATTGGAGAGAGGTTACGTAGAGACAAAGCCTAAGATGTTCGAACCAATA